AAAAAACTGCCATCCCCAAAAGCAGTTTACAATTAGCATTTCTATTAATTGCTTATAATGCACAGTTGGGCATTTCTGTGTCAGATGGGCAAAATATTAAATATTTTAAACTATTATCATAAATAGCCAAAAATTAAGTATCTTTATATGGACATGGAACTCATATAATGAGTATGAAGTGTTAGGTATGAAGTGATTGAGCAGCAGTGCTCCTAGTTCCTACTTCTGTTGATAAGTTTAAGTGTTTCACAAGAAGCGTTATGGTACTCATGTTAAAACACAAGGGTTAATAAAAAATAACTGTTCAGCATATACAAAAGAGGATCCAGCTGGAGCAAAATTATCTTCTTAACCACAAAAGAGCTTTCACTTGTTAAGTAGTGAGGAGAAGCAGCAACTGGTATTAGAACCCATTATATATAAATTTGTAGAATATGGTATAGAGGTATGCAGAGTACCTTATAATTAGTTTTTATTCTAGAGGGTGAGCTCAGTCATTCCCCACATAGTCTTTGCCCTCTTCCTCTTAAAGTGAGACCCTTTCACAGTACGGTTTGCTTCAGTTAACAAAATTAGTATATATTACCTTACTATTCATATGAAGGTTCCATTCCCCAGATGGGCAAAACAAGAAAGCAGCACCTTTTCCAGAATTCTGGCTAAAGGCTTATTTCTCTCTGGGTGAGCTGTACATTATAAATAATCCCTACTTTACATTATATTTATTATTTAATGAATTTGATTCCAGTAACCTGTGAAAAATATCTTTGATACACACTACTCATGCCTGACTTTTAATCAACCTCTCTACTTCTCAGTTTCCTTATCTGTACTCTGGGGACAATAATATTGCTCTATTTACTTCATAAGATTGCTGTAAAATAAGAGAAATTATATGTAAAGTGGTTAGTACAATGCCTAGTAAATTGTAAACGCTCAGTAACATAGCTACTACAAAAAGCAATAACTTGTTGCATTCGTTCGGTTTGTTATTTTAAGATATTTTTTATTGTTACACAAAAAGTTACATATAAACTGCCACAAGATGGACACACACTGCCCCTCACTCCAACTTCCTTCGTTGTCCACTTGCCCCATTTGGATCAGGCTCTGGCCAGGTCCAAGACCACTAGCTTGGCATATAGCTATTCGGGATCAACTCAGCCCCAGCCAGGCTCCACTTTACTGAACTCACATTTATAGTTCTGAATTCACTATTCTTCCATGGAAGGACTTCTGGTATAGTATTTTCCTTTTGGCTCTGTTAATCGTCTGGCCCTGGGCCCTGCGACACTTAATTTGGCCAGCCCAACACTCTCCCAACTGTCACCTCATGGAAGTGGTTCACAGAGAGAGAGAAATCTATCTGCTTCTGGTCATCAGCCAGATTTCCATCCTATAGTCACTCCTCTGAGTTAAGGCACAGTAAGACTGCTACTCAAATCTATTATCTGAAGAAATTTTGCCTAAGAGTAGTCATCAGATCAGATCAAGATATTTTTCCAGAAGAAAACAAAGGAAGGTCTAGAACAGGTTCTCAGTGGGTGCAGTTACTGTCCCTAGGGCACTTTGGAAATCTGTAATGATGTTTTTTTTTTAAATTTTATTTTTTCCCCCCAAAGCCCCAGT